GTTAGGGTCAGCATTTGGCTTAGGTTAGAGCTACGATGAGGTCTTGGTTGAGGGCTCGTATGTGGGTTAGGCTTAGGGTTAGCGTTTGGTTAGAGCTACAACGATGGCTCTGTTAGGAGAAGGTTGAGGGCTAAGAAGGGGGCTAGGGGTAGGTGGTCTAGGGTTAGGGTTAGGTCTAGGGCTATGGTTAGCCTTAACTGTACGGTTAGAACTACGACAGGGGCGCTGTTGAAGTCTAGTCTGAGGGCTTAGTTGAGGGCTAGCGTTAGTGTTTGGTTTAGGGTTCATTTTAGAGCGAGGGTTAGTGCTAGGTTTACAGCTAGGGTTACGGTTAAGTTTAGGGGCTAGGGTTAGGGTTAGTGTTTGGTTTAGTGTTAGAGCTTGGTGAAGGGCTTGTTTGAAGGCCAAGGTGAGGATTAGGGTTAGGGCTTGGCTTAGAGCTATGTTTAGGGCTAGTTTTTGGCCTAGGCTTAGGGTTAGTGTTTGGGTTATGGTTAGAGCTATGATGAGGGCTTGGCTGAGGGATAAGGTGAGAGCTTGGGTTAGGTCTAGGGTTAGGGTTACTGCTGTCTCGAAGGCTAGGTTGAGGGCTAGGGTTAGGACTAAGTTTAGGGCTTGGTGTAAGGCTAGGGTTAGGGTTAGCATTTAGGTTAGGGTTAGAGCTACAATGAGGGCTTGCTTTAGGGCTATGTTGAGGGTTAAGGGGATGGCTAGAGTTAGGGCTAGGGTTATGGCAGAATTAGGGTCAGGGGGTTAGAGTGTTAGAGCTAGGGCTAGGGCTATGGCTAGGGTTAAGGGTTAGAGTCATGGCTAGATTTAGGGTGAAGGCTATGTTGGGTTTGAGTTGTGTCTAGCTTTAAGGTTAGGGTTATGGCTACGTTTAGGGCTAGGGTTAGAGCTATCATGATGGCAAAGGTTACGGCTATGGTTAGGTTTAGCCTTAGGGATAGAGCTACAATGAGGGCTTGGTTTAGGGGTAGGTTGAGGGCTAAGGTGAGGTGTAGGGTTAGGCCTAGGGCTATGGTTAGGGTTAGAGCTGTGATGAGGGCTAGATTTAGGGCTATGATGATGGCTAGGGTTAGGGTGAGGTCTAGGGTAAGGCCTAGGGTTAGGAATAGGTTTAGGGCAAGGGTTAGGGCTAGAGTCAGGCCTAGGGTTAGGGCTAGGATCAGATCTAGGTTTAGGGTTAGTGGTAGGGTTCGGGTTTGGTTAGGCTTAAGGTTGGGGGTAGGGTCAGGGTTAGGGCTAGTATGATGGCTTGGGTGAGGTCAAGGGTTAGGCCTATAGTTACGGCTAGGACTAAAGCTAAGCTTAGGGTCAGTGTTAGGGTTCAGCTTAGGGCTAGGGCTAGGGTTACGGTTTGGGTTAGTGGTATGGGGATAGCTTGGGTAAGGGCTATGGTAAAGGCTAGGGTTCAGGCTAGGTTCAGGATTAGGTTTAAGTTTAGGGCTAGGGTGAGGTCTAGGTTGGGTTAGGTTTAGGGTTAGGGCCAGGCTTTGTGTTTGAGTAGGGTTAGGTTTAAGGATAGAGCTACAATGGTGAGGGCTAGGTGAGGGCTAGGTTCGGGTAACAGCTAGGGTTAGTGGAGGAAGAAACTGCAGATATAGTGGGAACAGCAAGAGAACTAGAATCAGAAGTGGAGCCTCAAGATGTGACTGAATCATTCCAACCTGAAGATAAAACTTTATGGATGAGGAGTTGCTTCTTAAGGATGA